CTGTAACAATCCTCAGGTCATGAGACCATACATATTCCTTTTTTTGGTGATATGTTCTCATTTTTTTGTTTATTGTATTTGTATTATATATCAGTTTTTTTATTTATTGCCTTTAAAGGGACATTCCACTGACTTTTTTAAAAAATTCTGCATAATTCAGTGGTTAAGATGTATACAAAGTCAGAGTGCTTTGATATGAAGTGGTTCACTGTAGAGAAACTTAAAGACTCAGATTTCTTAACAGTGGTGGTGATGGGAACCAAGTGTTACAATGTCTACGGTGCAAATGTAGCCATTTTATTTACTATTCAAAACCACCAGTGAACCTACATGTGTCTTCTGGGTTTTTATATGTAATGTTGATAAAAATAAAATAGTGATAAAACTGGAAAACATATTCTTAGGGGAGTATCTTGCTTCACACCACCCTCCATGTACGTCTCCTCCATGTGTTTTAAAAATTAAGTTTTAGTTCAGCAGTTTTTCGCAAAACTATCATAAAACAGTGGCTCAGGCAGCAGACAAAACCATTTAATGTATTAACTTTCTATGTAATTCTTTAGACACCTCGTTCTTATCACAACCCCTGTTAACAGTTCTGACTTGGTAAGTTTCTCTAGAATGGAGCATTGTACATCAAATCACTCTGAATTTTTTGATTTTGGTACATCGTAACTATTTAATTATGCAGAAAATTTGGGAAGTTAGTGGAATTCCCCTTTAATACTGTTATTTTCAGAAAGGACAGTTTCATTTTTTGGTACTTCATAGAAACATTACATGAGGCAGAGAAATGGGGCTCTGTGATACTGTACATGGCATTTTTTTATGGCATATCTGATGGCTGATGGGAACACGAGTGAAATTATTGTTCAGTGATGCTGAAGAGCAGCAGCTTAAAGAGTAACACCAACAACCATTTGACATGCTTCCCTTCTCCCCTGGCCTTTACAGTCCTGGGTTTGCCTTAACCTAATCTTGAACGTCAAATATGGAGAGACATTTCCAGAACTGTCACATTAACTAGGCTGGCAGCACTTATGTTAACTACAGTTTTTAGTGAAGAGAAATAAAAATATAAATAAAAAAATATATACAATATAAATAAAAAAAACTGCCACCTAATCAGCATTAGCAATATAGTTAATGTTAGTGTAACATAATGAAACATGGTGGCTGTTTTAAGTTGTGCTTAAATGCTCATTTATGCTGTTATCACGACATGTGACTTAAATATAACACTCTCCAAAACCTTTCTTGGACATAGAGATTAAGACATCACCTTTCTATACTCATAATCCATCAGAAGAACACGTTAAAGTACCTGATCATGTTTTTATTACATTTTCTGTAATTTTGTTGGTGTAGCTTTTTCCTCTTTTTGTACAGTTTTAAAGATTCTATTTTTCAAACTTTCTGCATAAATTAATAATTGAGATGTAAACAAAGTAGTTCAGAGTGGGCTGATGTGAAATGGTGCTTTGTAGAGAAGACTATCAACTTTGATTTTCTCTACAGTGCTAGTAAGAACCAGGGATGAAGAACCAATGTCTACAATGCAATCTTTATTTTTCACTTTTTCATTTTTTTGTCCAAAACAACCAGTGGAAGTACATAACTTCTCAGTTTTATAGGTAATGAAAATGGTAAAATAGTACTAAATCCAAACAAAACCTTTTTGGGGACTATTTATCCCTGCACTGCCCTGCATGTACCTCTCTGCCATGGATGGCTTTTATATGTTTTAAACCAAAAACTTATTTCAAAACTATTGTAAAACATTATCTTCTGCATCAGGCAAGAGATTTGTAGCCATTTTGCTTCTACAGGTATTAAATTCTGTAAACGTATAGATCCTGTCACCATCTCTGTGTCTTGGCATGTTTCTCTAGAATGATTTATTTCACATTAAACAACTTTTTTCTTCTTACATCTTACTGATTCATTTATACCAAACAAAACTGAAAGGTGGAATTCCCATTTAATTCTTCTGTTTAGAATTGTCAGGTATTTACTTGCATTTGTGACAAATGCAGATCTGTTTAGCACATTCTTTCTCCTGAAGGCTAAACTACAGTCAATTAAAAATCTGTATGGTTTTTTTTTTTCTCTCACTCAGCAGGAACTACTACTATATAACCATCCTGAGGGACCCAGTGTGGCGCTACCTGAGTGAGTGGCGGCACGTTCAGCGCGGCGCTACCTGGAAAGCATCCCTCCACATGTGCGATGGGCGGGCACCCACCCTGGCTGAGCTGCCCAGCTGCTACCCAGGTGATGACTGGTCAGGCTGCTCACTCGAGGAGTTCATGGTTTGCCCGCACAACCTGGCCAACAACAGGCAGACACGCATGCTGGCTGACCTCAGCCTGGTGGGCTGCTATAACTTAACAGCCATGAGCGAGAATCAGCGTGGTGCTGTGCTGCTGGAAAGCGCCAAGCGCAACCTGAGGCGCATGGCCTTCTTCGGCCTTACCGAGTACCAACGCAAGACGCAGTACTTGTTTGAGCGCACCTTCCGTCTGGCCTTTATTGCGCCTTTCACGCAGCTGAATGGCACCCGGGCTGCCAGCGTGGAGGTGGCGCCCGAGACGCAGCAGCGCATCCGCGAGCTCAACCGCTGGGATGTGGAGCTGTACGAGTACGCGAGGGACCTTTTTTTGCAGCGCTTCCAGTATGCACGGCAGCAGGAACGCCGCGAGGCCCGCCAGCGTCGCCAACAGGAGAGGCGTAGGCTGCGTGCCAAAGTGCTGCCCTGGTGGAGTGGGCCAGGGAAAGGACCTAAGCCCACCAAAACACCACAAATAAAACAGTCTCCAGCCACCAGGCCTACTGAGCCAAAACAGGTTGAGGTGGGGAAGAACCAAGAGAACAAGGTGGAGGGGGAATTAGAAGATCCCTGGTGGGGAGAGGAGGAGGAGGAGGAGGAGGATGATGAGACTGGCACCATTGAGGACTATATAGACAATGTAGAACAATGGTGATGATCTGTGGACATTTTAGATGAAACAGGTGCAGATGAACTGCTGAACTTGCTGCACAAACAAAAATGCCAACACCTGGCCAAGGAGTGCTTTTTCTTCTCCTTCAAAGCCACAAACACTACTATGTTCTACATTAGCACATATGTGAAACTGTCTTTGTGTCTGTTTTATAACAGATGCTACTATGAACTGAATGAACTTTGCTGACGTGTCCTGAGTTGTTGGGTGCGCGCTACAGTCACCCATATGTGTCAGTGTCTCTAATGGTCTTTGACTGAATCTGTGATTCTAAAAAATGCTATTGAATCAAAGAGCTTTTTGTTTTTTCACTTTTTTTTTATTTGGATTTTCTCTACAATACTGATTGTGAGTGACGTTATGATATTGTCTAGCATTCTTACTGCACTGATGTGTGCCCTCTGGCTTCAATATAAAATGCAAATCACATTATTTGTAATACCTGACATAAGCTATATTGTAAATTGTACGAACAAGTACACATGGTTCTGCTGGGGGAAAAAATGAAATTTGTCGCTACTCAAATAAATTTTTATATTAATTGTACTCGCTTTGTGGGGACTGAAATTTGAGTGTAGTTATCCTGGATTATGATTGTTTTAATTATTGTTTCTTCATTGCTCTGTAACTTTTTCACCTACATCCTTTTAAAAAAGTGTTACTTTGAGGGTTCTTTAGTAAAGGCAATGGTTATATATATAACTATGAAAACTCAAAGAACTGCTTGGATGTGTCAGTGGTTTTTCCATGGTTTAATGGTTCTTCTCTATGATGGAAAACATGTTGTGCCTTGTTCTTTAAAGCAGCATTTCCCAACCCTGGTCTTGGAATTCCAGTGCTCTGCACATTTAGTGCCTGTTGTGTTCCCACACATCCACTTCAGCTCAGGTAAGGGGTTGTTAATGAGCAGATTCGTTGGTTCAGGTGTGTTTGGAGCCGGGAAATCACTAAAATGTGCTGGGCAGGGGGTACTCGAGGACCTGGGAGGCACTGTTTTAAAGAAGCTTTTTAAAAATGTTCTGTATAGCACCAAAATGATTCTGTTGTTACCAGTAATAGAACATATTTCAATACTACACAGAACCCTTTTACTATTATTCTTAAAAAGATGGTTCTTCAATGTGTCTTTAGTAAAGGGAATGGTTTTATTTAGAACTATGAACTTTATATAGAACAATTTTATGATTAAATGGTTCTTTGCATGGTGAAATTGTTGTTCATATTTATGGAAAATGTGTTGTACATGAAAACCGTGATATATAGCACCAAAAGGTGATCTGCTATTGTTATGATGCCAAGTATGTAACGAGAGAACAACCCTTTTTGTTGCCATAAAGAACCATTTTCAAAAATGTTCTATATAGAACTATACACAACACGTTCTCCATCAATCTGAAGAACAATTTCACCATGCAAAGAACCATTTAAGCATGAAACTCATGGTTCTCTATAGAAACATTCCCTTTACTGAAGGACCATATTTGTTGAGTGTACTTCTACTGTGAGCAGATGAGGTTTAAGTAGAAGTAGCCCAATGAAAAAACACTAAGGCCGTCTGGTATTCTCTCCATTTAGACAGCAGGTGGCGCCAAACTCTCGTTTAAGTTTTACGCGTTGCGCACGATTTTAACCGTTTGAAAGATATTAGTTTCAAACCTCAAAGGAAAACCATTTTGCTATATTTTTATGTGCATTTGAGGTCGCGTCTGCCTCATTTAACATGAGTGAGAAACTTCTAGAACATCTGAGAGAAAACATATTTACATGCCAACGCTGTACTTTCTCCGGTTAAAGAAGAGAACAACAGAAGTTGGGTTATATGCGATATATAACCAATAGTGTTACTGCAGTGGTTTTCATCTTCATCCTGACCGACTCCACCCTTTTCAACGGGGTTTACAATCAACTCGAGTGGGATTCCCCTAAAATGGAGGAGCTGGGCGCGTTGGACCCACCCAGAAGGCGCAGACAGGCACTTTTTTCCCTCCTGCTCCACTCCTCCCTCTGTCCCTCCCTCGTTTTCTCCACCTCGCCTCGTCTCCCCGCCTGGTAGCTGCTAGCGAGTTCGCCTCACGCTCCCCTCGCTCGCTTCGTCCCCTTTCGCTATAAACACCACTCTCTCCTTGCGCGCAGCTCTCGGACATTTCGCAGCTGATTTACCACGTAGAGAGCTTCTGCACCTGAAAAAGTTCAACTCCGTGAAGCCAGGCTAGCGCTGAAGGAAGCGCTCATATAAACCAATGAGCGTGACGTAGCCAGCTACAAAAAATGACTCGCTTTCAACATTTGATTTAAAACGAGCCTCCAGATCAGCACTGAGGAGCGAACAGGCGGTCCGTCTGCGCAGGTAAGCGGGGCTCATTCTCTGCTCGCACTTATCTAACGTTCACAGGCTGAACGGTCCTGAGATTTATGTCTGTGCTCATTAGACCAAAACCAGCTGTTACAGTTCATCCTTTACTGGTCACGAATAAATGCGCCATAAGTAAAAGCTTCCAGGCGTTTGACAGTAGCTAGCAGTGCGCTAGCACCTCAGGCTAACCTGGCTTTGCACATGGCCTTGAACCATGACTCATGTTATAATCAGTTATTCTCCTAGTGGAGGGCTTGCTTGCTTTTTGGAGTATTTTTACACTCGCCTTGTACTCAGACATGCCCCTCTGAGTCGTGAAATGTTGAGTGAGTGGGGTTCTGGGTTTTGCTCCGAGTCCCTCGCTGCGTGTGTGGCGCTGAATGGCAGCTGTTGATCCTGTCAGTAATGACATTGAGTGGCGGTGAATCAGGAAAAAGGGTAGAAGTTCTTGAAGCGGTTATCTTACCTGTGAGGGCTTTTTGTGGAAGCACTTTAAAAGAGATAAACGAGCACTTAATAGGAAAAACTAAAATGGTAAAAAACTGTATAGCAGACATAGAGCTATTTATGTTGACGTTTTCATGGGCAGAGCTGTGCACATTTCCTGCCATAAGGTACCATAGAAATAGAATTAGTCTTTGGCTTCTTGGAACTGCCATGTGTGCTTATGTTAGAAAAAACATTTTTATTATTCAAAGAAAGTAAGTTTGCCATCGCCCAGGTTTAGTGTGAAGTCTCAAAATAGACATTACACAGGATTTATGGAGTTTAGTCATCTATCTTAAAGGGCCCATATCATGGAAAATGACTTTTCCACACTTTTTTAAAATAAGAGTTTGATGGGGTATATAAACATGGTTAAAGTTTCAAACCGTCGCTCTCTAGTCTATACACTCCATACATGGAAACTAAGCTGCAAAAAACGACTCCTTTAGGATTCATTGTTTTTTGTGATGTCACATATATCCAGCTATTGGGCCTACAGCCGTTTAGCCCCGCCCAGTCATGCTGAGGTTATGAGGAGTGTTTCAGCTCTGACTGCTTTTTGAATAAGACACAGTACAAGGTGAACAATCAGAAGAACTTTTTACTTATCAGTCTTAAATTCACAGTAGCAGCTTGTTTGATTCTGTGGGATAAAAAGATGTTGGAAAATGGTCATGTAAAATCATTTGTGGCTGTTTTTGATACCTAAATCCACTTACATGTCATAAGTGAATAGAATGCAAGAAAAATGTGGGATATGGGCCGTTTAATGTACTGTCAGTCTGGTAGCAGATCTCCTCAAGTCCGAAGCTACTTTAGCTCATTTCCTCTGCTTTCCAGTTGCCTTACTTCCGACTCATGGCGCATGTTGCTGCTTGCAGGCCAACAGGAAATGCATGCCCTGATTGACCATGCTGGACCTTTTGCTCTTGGGCATATTCAAGATGGCTGCATGACTTCTCCCTCGATGTCCTGTCACCCGTGCTGTCGCACATGCACATGCAGTGCATATTGAATGCATATTACATGTTTATACCAGTCAGCACACACTGCTGCTTGCTGAGAGGTTAAATGGGGCAAGCCAGAGTTATAGAGGTGGGTGGGGCAGCTCTGTGTGTGTGTGTGAGTGAGAGGCAGTTAATTCTGTTTGATTTCACACCCCGTGATGTGGACTGCCACCCTGTCAGAGCTGTGTGCCAGATCAGGCCAGGAGTGTGTGGTTGAAGTGCTTCTGTCCCTTGCCCTTTGTTCAAGTTCACTGGCTCTGAATTTGGTTATAAGCCATGGATCAAACTTAATGCAGTGTTATTATTTAGCATGAGCTTGTGTAATTGCGATGTCATCCACACCCTCACACGTTTACATTGTTTTTAGGTGGACCTTCTCAGTCAGAGTGCTCGCTTTGTTATGCACTTCCTTTTCATAGACCATACTGATGCAATCGGTCAAGGCGAGCGTGTCACTTATGGACATGACAGAGGACTACGAGGGCCATAATTAGTCCATCATGCTCCTCAGTCAGTTTGTAAACAGGAAAACAAACAAAAAACCTACTTCAAGCTAGAGCTGCATGACATGAACATAAAATGCAACGTCCACTAAAGCTATCAGTGAGCCTCTCACTGGATGTGTCACGAGTACAAACTCTTATTTTTATTTTTGAATTATTGACTTATTTATTTAATGTATCAGCAGAAATCTCCTTTCAGCAAATAGATGAAAGGCAAAATAATGAAATGCTAATAGCTACTTAAATTATGCACATTTGAAACTACAAAAAACCTACCAAAGCCTACAAAGACTAATAAATTCATGGGTCATTCAAGTCACAATTAAAAACACATTAAAATTAAGTAGACAATAAAATCCTTTTGCTTTGAGTGACCCAATACCTTAATTTTGTTCATTTTAATAAAATAAATGATTGAACATTGAACAACAGTTTTGTCACAGAAAAATAATAATGCTTTGTGGAAGCTATGCCAAGTGTTTCAGTAGTGACAGTTTCGGTAGTGACAATTTTAGCTGATTTTGAGCCTAACTCAACACTGGCCAGCACATAACTAGCAAACACTGCTTTGAACAGCTATACATACATAAAATCATAATATTCTTCGTTAAAGCACAAAAAATCAGTTTCTGATTTTCAGACACAATTATTTCAAAACAGTGGGATCTAACTGCTCAACAGGGATGCAGTTTACTTCCTGCTATAAAATGCACAGGCAGGGCTCAAATAAGGCTCTGCCCATGGACTAAAACACTGTGTTTTGGTAGTTACATGAGAATGTGGGTCAGAATTTTTTGGATGAAGTCCTGACCGATGTGTTTATTGTGGAAGCTCATATAGCGATAATGATAACGATATGATTTATTGTGCAGCCCTCCTGCAAGCTGTAACAGGATTAAACCAGGCTGCAGCAGCCTGTTGTCATCAGCGGTGTTGACGGCAGATGCAGGAATGGAGGTGAAATTCCTTCTTGCTGAAGAGACCATGCACAAATATAAGGAAACGACTCGCCATCATACAGTCTGGGACAGCACTAGTATATACAAACACACACAGTAGCCCACAGCTGTGGTATCGCAATGTCTCATTTACAGTAACCCTGCTGCAGGCCTGGACTCGTCGCCGTGTGTCTCTGAGGCGGTGGACTTTGCACTCGTCTAGCTCACTCTCCCTCACGCTGTGGAAACACTGATAACAGTGTAGAGCGACGTTACTGTACACACACAACATGTCCTCGTTTCCCCTTTCCCCTACAGGCCGGCTCTGACCAGTTCTGCCATGCGGGGGAAAAAAGGTCTGGAAAAGGTCCTGCAATGTACTGACCAGCAAAATGTAGCCAGATATTCATAAACATGTCTTTTTCCCTCCTCTTCACATGGAGAATAAGCCTCAGTGAAGCTTTTATCAACTATGATCTTGAATATTTTATGATGTGCATCATGGGCAGTGAGTATTGTATATTACTGAAGGCCCCTCTGAAAAGCTTGAACGCTCTGGTGAGCCTACGTCTATATTAAAGCACATTGCCGTAACGGATTAGGCGACGTCTGTAAGCATGTAATCTCACGGTTATCTTACTTTATTAGCATGTAATCTCACGGATAGCTTATTTAGCAGTAATTACCATCTGTGGTACCTCTCTTGCGGATCTCAAGCTGTTTCTTTATTTATTTATTTATCTAGTTGTTAGTTTATTCATCGCTTTTATTTTGTTATCAGATATATCGTAAAGAATTTTAGAAGGTCTTTGTGTCCACGCTCTAATGATTTTCCTTTTGCTCAAGGGAGCATAGAAGACATTTCATGGGCTGCAATAATCATTAGGCTACAAATCCTCATATCCATTAATGGAGGATTAGTTAAATAACACATGAGAAATGTGGTCTCACTTGGTTTGATTAGATTGTTGAACTGAACAAGTTTACGCAGAGACCAGGACGGCGCTCAGTTCACCTCACACTGTCATGGAGGCCAGCCTGGGTTCTTAAGACGCTCTGTAAAACAGCATATCTCCTGTCATAGCTACATGTTCCTAAGTGGATGTAGGCTGTTGAAGGTTTTTGTGAATGGAGACTGTAGCACTGGAGTAGGCTGAGGGGATTATAGATACTTAACCTAATTATTTTTCTCTCAGGCTGTGGGCTTTCACTCTCACTCTTTCTCTCTCTCTCAGGCTGACTCGTGCAGCTGCCAGCGCCAGTCTCTTAACCACTCCTCTTGCTCACCTCAACCTCAACTGTCTGGCGTCCATTTTATGCTCTGCCTTTGCTCGTTCCCACCGCAACACTCCTCTGCTGGTGTTTTCTCTATTTTTACTGAATGACTGAGAATTGCATGACTACTTGGAACATTTTAAATCTCACTTCCTGCAGTATCATTGTGGCAATGTCTGGCGAGGCCTCTTGCTAATAATAAATGTTTCGATCTGTTCAAATTTGGTTTACACTTTCTCACCTTCATAGTATCTTATGTAATTAAAGTCAGTATGAATCAGGAATAATCATCTGTGAAGCTTTTCTGAGCGAATCACTGTATTAGGGACATTTTGTAAGTTGCTTGATGATATGTGGAGGTGGTGGGGACGTAAAACATGATATTATTGGTTATTTGCATTGCTCCCATGCCAGTTGGTGCACGGTGACATCATTAAAACTCAGAAGATGTTATTGAGGCAATTTGGTCAAAACTATGAGAAAACGACAACTTCTGGTTTGATTTCAGGTCGATTTTATTTTGTTCTTGTGTCATACAAACTGTATTTTGTAAGAGATTTTAATTTGCGTGACACCGTGTTACGAGTTGGAGTGCCTCTTCTTGTACATATATTGTACATTACATTTTTTTCTATCACTTTATATTTTTTTGATGATGTTTTGATGGTTTTATGTACCAAAAACAATCATAATTAACTGACCATTTTCTGACCTTTCTTTCTCCCGTAGAATTAAACAGGCTGTTTTTGTTATAGTACTTTTGAGATTGATATTTGTACATGGTC